GCGTGCATCTCTTTATTTAAGTTCCAATAAAAAGGTTATTTAAAACCTTCTTCTACAGTATTTATTCTTCAAAGACATAGCGAGTATTCGCTACTTCGTCTTTCTACGTAGGGTCTACATTTTATGCTTCCAAAAAGAGTAAGACTCTATAACTATTCCTCTAAGCGGGTTTCTGTTACAACGAAAACTACAAAACTAGCAAGAACATCGGGTCAATATGCCTCTGAAGCTTCGAATAGCTGGCCCAAAAAACTTCCAGCTAGGCACAACGTCATATGTTACTTTTCATATTTTCAGTTAGTATTTAAATCATTTTTCGACAAAGTTAAATCAGTAGAGCTTGAGTTAATTGGAAAATGAATGAACAATTTGTGAAACTGCATTTATCTCTAAAGAGACGTTTACAGTCTTTTACAAACTTGTCTCTTTCCAGAGCGCCAGGGAAAAAAATGCGTTTGAAAGGTGAAAAGTGCATTATGGGCAAGATTTCGAATGTGTTTGAGGGAAGATTGACGATAATATCTCACTAGTATGACCAGGAATTTTGTAAAACCGCTTCTTACAGAAAGGCCGAGAAATTTAATGTGTTGTGTAGCTATGTGAATGAGCAAAGCTAATGTCCTTTAAGAACATAAATGCTAGTAAATATAATGTGCAGTTGGAAACCCAACATGCTAATCCATCTGAAGCAATGATGAAATTTTTGTTTGAATTGAAGATAAAAATGTCAAAGCTGTGCTCATTATGGATTAATGTTGCATCAAATGCAGATGTAATTAAAACCAGAAACATAAGAATACTTTTTTAACCTCATTTCCCTCATTATTTATTTATTTATTATTATTATTATTATTTTTCTAAACACTACACCAGTGTATTTAATCTTTATTTATTTAATTCAAATAGTCGAGATCACTTGTCCAAAGATCTTGAGTCCTTAAACCACTGATCTTGATCAAGTGGAAAATTTTGATAAAATATGGCGCAAAAAACATTCAAGGTTGCTGTTATGTCATATTTTATCTAACTTTCTCGGAACCCGGACAACTAAATCCGTGAAGGGTTGAGATACAACATGCTCAATGGTGGAATCCACAAATTTCAAGAATCGAGATCCTGTGTAAATAAGTGATAAAATTGAATAAAATTGACTTTTCCTTAATATGAAACAAAATTGACGACATCCTGTGTAAATAAGTGATAAAGCTAACAAATAAACTGTCGTAAATTACCTATGTAAATGTTGTAATTCTATTTTAGCAGCTGGTTCGCTGAACTAAAATTATTTAAAGAAACGATTTCATCGAGTCGGTTAAATCCCACCTCTGTACTCGTTCGAGATTAAAAGCTACTTAAAGCGTTAATTTAAATTATGCAAGAAAGCGGTCGGCACCTTTAAAAATTAAACAGAGACTAGTGATGGTGATAAACAGAATCTAGCGAACAAAAAGTTTTTTTTTTTTTTATTTAAGCTTTTAATGGTAAAAATAAAATTGAAGATCACATCGCATTTGATGAAAATTTACGTATGGAAGAATAAGATCTGCACATAGATAGCGATTTCATAGAGAAAAATGAATATCATAAAAAACGAGACTTCTAACAAAAACACACAAATAGGCTAGTAATGTACTAAATTAGCTAGGACTTTCCGAAATAACCCAAAGCCTTTAAAAATCATGCAATATATGCATGCATGTGGTTCTTTACAGCTCTTTTACTTAAGGTAGCAATCACTAATAAAAAAATACGTTTTCATTCGATTTTTACTTTATTTATCCATTAACTCGTCATTAATTAATTATATACAATTATTTCTTAATTTGCCTTTGCTGTTGCTTTCTTATTAAAGCAGTTTTAAAATCTCCTATGGACAAAACAAATTTCTTCCTCCCCCCCATAACATGGCCCGATGATCGATGATGGAGCCTTGGTCCCGTGAATGTTATTAATTCGATTTAATTGTATTTGACTGTAAACCGAAATAATCAGATTGGTGTTAAATAATAAAACTTAAATGAAACAGCGGGAAATTTCTTAAACTTAACTACAAACTAACAAAACATAAAGAACAGAAACACAAAAATCCAAAGTTGCTTAAAACACCAAAACACAAAATACGTTATTGATGTTCCAAAATGGCCGGACACTTAAGGCTTTTAATACATTCGCCAGAAATGCCTCTTTTTAAATAAAAACTTCGTTTAATAATTTCGCTTCGCAAAATTGTTTGACTTTGTTTAAGGATTTGTATTCTAAAGTTTGTTAACCTCCAGACAATTTTGATTCGTTCCTGCTTTCTTTCTCAATAGATGGCGCTATGTGTTTCTTTTCTTGCATTCTGCATTGGCATCTTGTACTTTTTTGAAATTGTGTCTTGATTCTTTTTCCGCGCAGAATCTGTGGTTCGCAGCTGCTTGAGAAAACACTGCCTCTCTTATTGTTAAAGTAAAATGCAGAGTAAAACTTTCATTTATTACTCAATGTTCTCTCGAAAATTTTCTGCTTTTCAAACTATATACCGAAAATTAAAAAATAAAGGATGCATTTTCTTAATAATAATTTTATAATAGCTATAAATCCTACTCATTCCCCAAATTCCTAAACATTATGTGTGTGGACAAGCTTGAATCAAATATAAAATTAATTATATGATACATCTTAAGCAATAATGATGTTTTCCAGACTTGTCTGTCAGAAAGGCATTTTAGTGTTAATAATTTTGCATCGAATTTATCAAACAAATCGATTTCGGACAAATTAAGAATTTACAAGAACATGCAATCTACTTTTCAAGTTAAAATCTGTTATTTTGCGTAGGGTAGAAAGAGAATGTACGTTAACTGAATTAGGCGTTAGGTGTCATTCACTCGTAAGTAAGTTTTCTACGACATTTAGAAATATCGTGCTTATACATCTTAAAGCAAACGTAGTTTGTCTTCCTAGCATTAAAAAAATTATCAGAAAACGAATTATAGTTAACTCTAAGGTAATAATGCACACTGAGAAAAATATTTAGGTAACTGAAGGCAAAACCTAAGCATAAAATACTTAAATCAAATATTAAAATAAATAAATAAGTATTTTTTAATTTTAGAGCTGTGGAGCTTCGAAAGTATTCTTGAAAAAGTCTCAGTAAATATTGAATCTCTGTGCTTGAAATATTGCAGATAATTCTCTAAGAAATCGCTTACCTGTTTTAATATGGCGAATAGTTGTTGAAGAAAGTGGGTCTTTCACAGCTCAAACAGTAAGATGGCTAAATGTAAGCTGCAGTGTCATCAAAATACAAAGAAGTGGCTTACGGGATAAGTCAGTTCGACATGGGTTCAAATCTAAACAGCAGGCTGGCTGTATGGGTGTTTTCGTGATACTCTCCATGTGAAACGTAAATACAAACCAGTTTCCTCTAGAAAGTCCTTCCCGAAGGCATCCATCTCACTTTGGCAAATAGCTCATGTACGCGTTGCCTTTATCAATTAACCTAAACTAAGGTAACCTAAGAAATAAATTCTTTGGCGAATCTACGACTTCAAAGAAGGCTAATTTATCGACAGGTTGCAATCCCTTCTGATCGTCGTTTTCTATCCCTTACAGCCAGAAGAATCACAACTGCATCTGAGCTTACCTCTGGTCATTATGTAATAACACAAAGACAGATATATCCTTCACCTGTGAGAAGGCTGCATAAACAGAAAGCGTCTAATTAAAGCTCCATATTTTAGTTTATTACATTGAACTCATTCACACAGGGCACCTAAACCACCCTATTGAAGAGAACATGCCGTATGGAAAAGACGACAATGGAACTCAGTAATGCACGCAGATGAGTTTATGTACTCTGTACACTAACCATTTCGTGCCATAATCTGACAAGGAACAAACTTGATAGTATTAAGCCAACTTTCTCGAAAGGGAGGCATAGGTCGGGAATTAATTTCGTTTTTATAAGTATCTCTCTAGACGCTTATATTGACTTCCGCGTGCTTGTTGAAAGATCTCCCAATGTTCTGAAGAAAATGATGTCCTAAAAGTTTATGCAATACCATTTGCTGATACCGTCGTTGCTAATGATATCTGGCCACCTACAGCAATTGTAGATCAGCAGACTTTAAACTGTTAGACATATTTGGGCCCACCTAAGACCCTCTACAAAGATCTTGGAATGAAGTGTAGTGAAAGTTAAAATGTGCACAACAGAGACGTGCCCTTTTTGCTCCGAATAGAAGCAATTTATTGAAAACTGAAGTACATGATAAATTTATCGACAGTAAACATAATTTGAGCCAAGGTTTTATGCGTGTCATAGGTGGACTGAAAGGAAAGAGAGAGAAGAAAGAAAAGAGTCAACTTTAATGCTGAATACTGCATTAAAGTTGACTTTTTCAATTAATTTTACAAAGCCCTTTTGTCATAGTTTATTATTCATGTGAATTTTGCAAAACAATGCTTTAAAATATTTTCATAAATAAATGAGCAAAGCCACATAAAGTAAAATAAATTATAGTACTATCTAAATCTCTGCTAAATTTTATGTATTTATCAGAGTCTGATACTGTTTGTTTTTAAGGTTCATAGCCTGAAATCCATTTGTTCTTTCAATAATTCGAAAGTGGTGAAATCAGAAATACAAATGATAACCTGCCCTTAACTGAAATGTCTAATAAATTGATTGACAGCAAGAAGGCACAAACTGACTCAAATTATCATTAACGTTATGAATGGACACACTCCGCATTAAAGTTTACTTTTTCACTTAATTTAACAATTTTTTTTTTGTTAAATTAAATTAAAAATTTTCATGTAAATTCATGCGAATTTGCAAAACAACGCTTTATAATTACATCATAACAGGAAAAGTGCACAAATGCAATAAAGTACAACTAAATTTTATCTGAAATATTTTTTAATATTTTAGAATTTTTCAGAAAACACAAACCACAATATTTTAAAATACAAAAAAAATCTGCAAGGAAATATATTTTAAAAATATATTTTACCGTATTCTGCTCCAGATGATCCCGAACATATCCAATATCGAGGGCCATTTCATTTCGGATATTGACGAAGTCTTCATATGCTTTCAGGAAATCCTTTTCAAGAAATTTACAGTAGGCTGCTGCCAAGTCTTGCTTCGGTAACTGCAGGATTAATTGACGGTCCCTGTATTTCTCTCCCGAAGTTCCAAGACGAGGCACTTGGTGATTTGGCAACTGGCTAAAGTATTCTTCAATCTAAAGTAAATCAATAAATATAGATCCACACAACAAATAAAACGAAAGCATAAAATCACATGTAAAAAAAAAAGGTTTTTTCCATCTTCAGTTAAATTTGCTCTTAATTATTTGGATATTAAAATCTTTTTAAAGCATAGTCGTTACAACGGAATACAACAGAACCCATCAGAACACAATTAACATATTGCAAGATACAATAAATTCAATGAAAAAGATTGTATACTAAATTAGTGTTTCCTAACTAGTAGGTCATAAGACCCCCATGAAGGGATTTGAATGGGCCATTCAAACACACATTTCCAAATTAAATACACGCATTTAAACTTTCTATACTCCGCTTTAAAGAATCAGTACTTTCTAAAAAGTAATCCGTGAAATCTAAATAGAAATATATTCTGGTGAATTATGTGGTGGCCTAGAAAAGAACAACGTGGGCATTTTTAATGTTGCTGTCACTAACAATGTAAAATCTAATCCGATGCAAATCGTTTGAGTTATTGAACATAGGAACAGTTTTTATGTATAGCCAAGTTTTGACTATATCGTGAGCATTCGTGGCAGTTGGAAATGAATTGAAATATTTTAGTAAATTTCTGCGATTTCATAACATAATTTAATTTATGAACATTTCGCAGTTGTTTAAACATCTCTTCACTTTATACATCTTAACATTTAGTCCCCTCGTAATGCTACTCCTAAACACCATTAGCTTTTAAGACACACATAAGGACTAAGATATTCTACAAAAACTGATTCTGAAAAGGGCTCCGTGAGTCAAAAAGGGTAGAAGTCACTGATTTTAGATTATTTGATCAAGGATTACGCTTAGCCGCTTAATCATGGAAAGCTTGCCCATGAAATTCTCGGCTAATGGTATCTGTGAACAAGGGTGAGGCATGTGGGGCTCTTGCTTCAGGTGTGCAGTCAGAAGGGGCGCCAAATTAGGCACAAGAATTCAGAAATTCATTTAAAAGAAACCATGATTCGTAACTTTCAGCTTTAGAACACATCAACAAGTAACGAAGGAATACCGTGTTAAAAACCATTTAGCTGAAATTAGAAAAGAATTAATAACATTAATTTATTCTGAAAAATGCTGAGTTTCACAGTACTATATGTACCGTTTTCTAAAACCAAAATTTATTGTTGGAACTAACGCATTGGAATTAATTTACCCTTGTTTACACTAATGTATTGAGATGCTTAAGCTAAACTAGCCCAGACGGCGCCATGCTGTCGATATTAGAAATTCATTATTACTTTCCTTTAATTTGAACTAGAACTCTTAATTCGCCATAATTAGTTTTCCAACTTTCATTAAATTAGCATGGATGGCAATGCAAATGCCGAAAGTTTTATTCCAGCAGACTTAACGCATAAATGTCTATTGAAATATCAAGTACAGACTAAGTAAGTTTGGTTTCGTTTACAGTTATTTCCAGAATAATTACGCATATTCACAGACTGCTTAAACGAATCGGCACATTAGTATATCTCATTCTTTATCAAGAATGGAATACCAGTATATAAAATAGAACGTTTTTTTTTTTTTTTTTTTTTACATATTCCATTGCTTATAATGAAACACTAAAATGAATTGTTCATAAAAACAACAAAATTTGTAAGTAAATAAATACGAAACAATAAAATACACAATAAAATGAAGAATAAGTTGAATTGGAAAATATAAAATTTAAATTATAAAACAAATTGGAATATAAACAAATTTAAATTAGTGAAAATTTCCAGTAATTTTCCTTTAAGTCTACAATGCCATTACGTAAAATAGGGAAATTCGCAATTATTTACATACAATCATATCAATTTTTTCTGCATGTGTCGATAAAAAATATATTGCATAAAAGAAAGAGAGCAGGTTGTCTTTACTTAAGTTTTGTTACACCGGAGAAGTATTCTCTGAAATATTTGGTAATTTTTTATAGTTTATTTATTTACAGTTTATGTTAAAAGTAAGTTATTTAGTGGCTAATTCAACATATCAGAATTATTAGAAATAAAATTCAGTCCAAAAATTTAATATTTATCTACTAGTACAACTGAATTATGAAATGTAACCAGAACAACAGAAATCTGTTACAGACAAAGAATTAGCACGGTTGAATTTTTTCCTTAGCGTAACTATTATTATTACTGTTAATGAATGTTTTGATAAATACTGAGTAAGTGAAATTTGAAATTAAATTAATAATTTCTTCAAATATATGAACCGCCAGCCTCTGTCAGGTCATGCATGCGGCCCGCCAGCTGCTTCTAGGTCGTGCATGCGACCCGCATACAATTTGAGTCTCAGAGAACTATCTTAATGATGCAGCTAAATGTGATATTATTGGTACTCCTGCCTGATTGAAAGAAGGAACGAGAACTATCAAGTTAATCTAACGAAGGAAAGAAAACTAGGGTGATTATAAAGAGTTCATTGGATTTCAAACTGTTTTTTTTTTTTTTTTAATATTTACAAATGCAGTAACGAAGGATACACGAAAATAAAAATTAAATATCTAAGTTTGCCCCCATTTTAAAATTTACCCGACTACTTTAATATGAAATTCACACGAGAGTCTTAAGCGATCCATTGAAGATGATTTAACGTCTCCGCGGATGACTTCCACGGTCTCCAGACCTCCCTCTTTGTGACTTCATTCTTTAAGGATGTGCTAAAGACTCTCTTTATATGCCCTTACTAATGAAAACGTCGGTTGAGCTGAAGAATCCCATTACTAATGCATGCATTCATGGCCCCTAGTAGATCATGTGCAATATTTATGTTCATATGAATAAAAAATTCAATACTTGACGCTTATTTCCATGTATCATTTATTGTTATATGTGTAATATTTTTTGAAGTACAGTGTTTTAAACCGATGAATCATTTATAATCACTCTGTATGATAAGTTATTTTTGAATGTTCGCTTTTTGAACGGCAAATAAAGCTATTTAATGCACTTCATAATAAATAATTATCTCATTAGTAAGAAATGCTCTTAAATGCATACAAAATAAATGAAAATTCCAGCAAATCTCACTTTCCATGTAAGTAATACTTGATTCAGAAATCCTATTCAAAAACAAATGTTTAGCAGATGAATACATTGGAGGGAAAAAAGTTGCATTTGGAATTAATTTTTAGATAAATATTGATGAAATCTCTAAGCTTCCAAATACCTCTTTTCCATAAATATACAATTCTTGATATGAAGTGAAACTGTTATGCGCGGCTTTGTATAACATGAATATGCGTTGATCAGACAGCATGTGTCTACCCATCAGCATTTACCACCCTATTAGTATGATATCAGGTTTGGCTTGGTTTACTTGACTACGGCAAAACACACGTGTGCTATATGCTTAAGAGGAAGGATGCCTTCGTGGAGAACATTTTAAAGGAAACTAGCTCGCATCTACGATACACCTATGGAAAACCATGAAAACGCCCATGCAGCCAGCCCGTTCGCCGGGATTCGAACCCTGCTCTAACTACCAGCTTTCAGTGAATTTTCCGCTCATCCGCTGATGAGCACGGCATAATAGTAGGAACGTCGGCTGCCACTGTGTGTTGCCCGTTTTCTGATTATAGAGAAGGCATATATTATTTAAGTATATAGTGTCTTCGGGGTAGGAAAAGAGGGGTAGAAGACTCTCGGATCCCTTTCCCGTGAGATTTTATTTCAAAACAGGCGGAGCTCAGCAATTCTGGACTGTCACCTATAAGGAGCCTAAAGCCAACGACAAGGGCCCACCCTTCCGTCTTGACTCCAATAAAATTTATGGATCTGATTAGGCTGTAGATTCAGATCAGTCAGAAATAACAACAAAATCATCTTTTATATATTTTAGTATTAATATCAATCATATATTATCGTGAGTTTTAAAAATATTTCAGTAGCCTTTAAAATAATTAACCGATTCTGCCTCATATACAACAGTTTTATAGTTTCATCTATAAATTTATCAAAATTCTCTTGAAGTAGTTCTGAAAATCATGTTTTATTGTTTAAAAAAGTATATTAGTTACTTCGTTCTTTTACGAGCAAGAACCCTGAAAAATCAACTGTGCTTTTGCTGGATTCGAACCCCAGATCCAAAGCTGTGCCTGCATAGTTTTCACCTGAAGCAAAGGAGTAATTCCGCCCCCCTATGAATCATAGAAATAGAAAGAAAAAAAAATGAGAAAAAAAAAGAAGAAAAGAAAAAGGAAAGGAATAATCTTTTTTTTTTTTTTTTTTTTTTTTTTTTTTTTTTTTTTTTTTTTTTTTGTGCATCCTACCTGTTCGGCGAAGATGCAAAAAATTATAATCCCCTGCAAAATTTAAAATAAAATAGTAACTTGCTTGAATTATTAAATAATATCTTCTATACTCTTGGTTTTTCCTGTTAATGTTCGTGGCCACAGTTAGCCACACTGGCAATCTGTCTTGCTACGACTCTTGGCGAATGGGTTGGTTGAATACATTTTTCGGATTTTTCCTATATGTCATTTGAATATGAGACAGCTCTTTTGAAATAGTCACAACGAAAGTATCCTTTCTAAAGCATGTAGTCCACGTGTTTCACTAGAAATAACTACAGTCTTACCTCATATTTTACACTTCAATATTGACAAAGAATAAGACAGACTAACATGCCGATTCGTTTAATCTATTCAATAATATATCGAATCGCTTCAGAAATAACTGTAGACTGCACGATGTCGGTGCAAATCGCATGCAGCCAAAAAACGTTAGATGCAGCCAAAAATAAAATTCTTGATCCATGCTAAGCATTCAGTGGCAAATTCCACACAAGAAAGAAAACAAAAGACTGATAAAACAAGAAATTTTTTTCATTTTTGAACATTCTTGTTTAGTCTTCCTTTGCTATTCCAAGGGAACTTTATGCTTCATTAGGCCTGCTGCAGTAGACTGTATGCAATTGTAGCACCATCCATACTCAGTAGACCTTGGAAAGCTTGTTATGGCGAAAAGCAGTGAAAGCTATA